TCTGCTGGTGCAACCATTTGGAGTTCAGGCTCCACTAGGGATGGTACTGTGCAATCATGATGAAGAATATCTTTTTTTTCCCCTACTTATCTCTGTTTCTGAGCCAAAAAAAATTTACCTAGCATGAAGCTGGGGAGAAATGGCATTTTTTTAACCCAGAAGAGTGTAGTGGCTGGGGGCTCTTCCCTGAGAAGTGGAAACCAAAGCTTCAAATCCTTAACTCCTCTGACAAGGACTTCAGCCTCAGTCCTTTTTTAGCCAGCCTGAAGCATGGCTCTTGCTCTTTGCTTCCAGTTTTCTTCTCTGCCTTGACTAATTTTCCAGTGGGAGGGAAGGAAAGTGCATAGCACCAGGTTTACGTAAATACTTTATGGGTACATGCGACACCTAGAGTTTAAATTTGTGTTCAGACTGATTCAGATCAGTCACTCGCATCCAACAAGGTGATCTAATTATTACTTTTTTTTTTTTGTACCTCTGCTGGAGCCGCTGCCTGTCACAAAAAATACAGCAAATAAAAGTAAATGGGAAACTGGTGCATTTTCCTTTATTTTTGATCATTTTTAACTGCTTGTACAACAAAAAACCTTGTTTTTTTAACTTAGGTATTTTAAACTCACCATTTAATTGATAACAGTAAAGTTCAGTGAAAGGCAGACTACCATACATATTTAAGTCAAATCACAAGGAGGCACAATAAAGCTGTGGCTCAGTACAACTGCCTTCCTGCCCTGCCTTGTGCCATTCCACTGAAGAGGGTTTTACCACAGGAGGTAGATTTTGTCCCACTTTTTTCCAGGCTCTCAATGCCTTTGTAAAGCAGAACATCTTCTCTCTGATTTTTCCACCCGATCTTGAAACCAGTAACTGCCCTACGAAGTGCTCAGCAGGCACCTAGCGTTAAGTAGTGCTAATACAGCTGGGGAAAACGTAGTCTTGTGTTTAAGTGCGTAAAGACTTTCATGGGTCTGGTGCTCTTTTGCAATATTTTATTTTTAATTAATGTATTATTAAACGGTTAAAAGACACAAGCAAGCAATTCAAGAGTGGCTAACAGTTATAAGAACAAACTTTTGTTTCCTTTGCGTTTGGCAGCAGATAGCAAGCTCTGTATTTGTGGGGGTTTTCCAGCAGAACGTTCACCTGAGAGCAGTGATCTGGGGTGCATTTCGGATGCGGTTTTTGCACAGGTTGCACACTTAATGGCAGAAGAGCAAGGCCCAGTCTATAAGCATGCCATGTGCCTTTTCACACACACCTTTTTATGGTGAGACGCAGAGAGAGACAGCTTTCTCCTCCCAGTGCCTGCTTTTGTTTTCATGCACTCTGTGCAAACAGCCATTCGACAGCGTGGGGCACGAGGCCCGGCAAGACTGGGGACGAGGGACAAACACACAACCTTTGGGGAACAAACACACGCCGCTTCAGTG